TAATGTGCTTGGTTGGGTGGAGGAGTGAGGCTGTGTCCAGTCCATTATGCCTTGAGGGAGCATTTGTGGTTTCCCCAAAATGCTAATCCCTAGAGGCATCTGTTGTCCATGTCCACAGCTGATATGAGTTGACCTTCCCCCTCATCCTCCCTTTCCCAACCGCCAGCACCCTTTTCCTTGGGATTATAATAGAAGACAAACTTTATAAGACAAGTTTCTCACTTCCATCTAACGTGCTGGTTATGTATGGGTTGCAAGGATGCTATGTAATTTTATGGACTAACCTCCTCTTGTTTGCCAGCATCAAATGGAAATCCACGCCTTCCAGATTCTTTGCATTATATTGATCCTTCAGGACGGCTAAATGCATACCAGAGGGTGAGAAATGAATCTTGGTTTGAATTTCACAACTTATGTGTTACTGATCCATGTTGTGAGAATATTTTTTATAGGCAATTGTTGAGGTTGGGGAGGTGTTACAGTTTTATGATTCAGACAAGCGATTTCCTACGTGGGGATTTGGAGCACGACCGATTGATGGTCCTGTCTCCCATTGTTTCAACTTGAACGGAAGCAGTCATTACTGTGAGGTAGAAATGCTAAATATGATCTTACTTTTGTTGGTCATATTTAAGTAATTCTTTAATAATTGTAAGTTTCTGTCATTTGCAGGTGGAAGGGATCCAAGGAATTATGATGGCATACACAAGTGCCCTGCTTAATGTTTCTCTTGCAGGACCAACTCTTTTTGGACCTGTCATAACCAATGCAGCGCTGATTGCCAGCCAATCTGTATTAAATGGTGGCAGAAAGTACTTTGTTTTGTTAATAATCACAGTAAGTATTAGAATATGCTGTTTTGGATATCATTGCTTCTTTTTTTATCTATGGAAGTATGTTAGTTATAACTTTATATTACGTTGGGTACATCAAATGGTGATTCCATTCTTGGCTCAGTTGAGTCGATTGATTGGAATGAACATTCTTATGTTTATTAGCGAAAAAGAGCATGGAATGGAATTGGCTTACTCTATGGAACCAAGAATCACCATTCCTTCCGAGAGAGGTGGGATTGGTGATTCCATGCTCTTTGGAATGAGATTTAAGTTCTCTTTCCTAGAATTCCCTCATTTAATTTATAGAATGACATTTATTAATTACCCTTTATTAAATATATGATTTCAAAATTCTTTTATTTTTAACCTGCCCTTCATGTCTTAGAATTATTTTAAATGCCCACATAATATTTTAAATTTTAAACAATGAGTTATAAATATATTGAAAAAATCTTAAAAATATAATATTGTGAAACGCCATTATCATCCAAAGTAGCATAATGAAAATATCAAGAAATGTATCGGAGTATTTCTCAAAATATTGTATTCATGTTACTTTCCTTTAACAAATTAAACTATTGTTTGCTCTTTCTTTTTTTTTTATTAAAATTGAATTCAAACATTATACATTAAAAAGCTAACCTTTGTTATTTTGTAGCATGTCTTAATGTATCCATATTATGCATAACAAAGCATACCCTTGCCTTGCACACACAAAAATCATGCATCCTTACTCCTGAGAACTTTTAAAGATTTTTGCATCAACTTGTGTAATTGATATCCTCCTAGGATGGAGTAGTGACGGATCTCCAAGAAACAAAAGATGCTCTCGTTAAAGCATCTGACCTACCATTATCAATCCTTATTGTTGGTGTAGGAGGAGCTGATTTCAAAGAAATGGAGGTATCAAGTTCAACATCTGTTCTTTACACATAGGAGTTATTATTGTTTGGCATCTGAGACGTTGAGCTTATGATGTTATACCACTGCAGGGCTTTATGTAGTTTTGTTGTTCAATGTCACAGATTTTAGATGCAGACAAGGGAGACAGGCTTGAAAGTTCATCTGGACGAGTTGCTTCGCGTGATATAGTCCAGTTTGTTCCATTTCGGGATGTTCAAAGTGGGTATCAGTTTGCAAATTATAACTTTGTCGAATGACTTCTTACTTAACAATCTCTTGTTAACTTCCACGTATTGCAGGTGGTGAAATTTCAGTAGTTCAAGCACTTCTAGCAGAATTACCTACTCAATTTTTAACTTACGTGCGGAGCAGAAATATCCAACCGAGTCTCTAGTCATGTAAAGATTGTATATATAAAAATGTTGTATTCATTCATCATTGTGCAATTTCGAGGCCTTTTCCATTTTCAATATCTTAAATAGATAAATTTGGCTTAAGGGCTGAGGACTCATGCTTTATGCGAAATGCCAATTAAGGAGTCAAGAAGGGTTCGCCAGCAGCTGCATTATCTTGAGATCTGTCCGATCAAGCCTTATGAATGGAATTTCTTTTTCTTCTCGTGCTCATATTTTTGGGGTTTTCTAGTTGGTTCGGCTTGAAAAAAATATACTACAAATGGAAATTTCTGTTTTCTTCTAGCTGGGAGTGCAAAATTTTAGTCTCACTGTCTACATTAAAGCTGGAAATCCAATATAATTATTGAAAATTTATGATACCATTTTTAATGCAAGTCAATAATTTGCGGATGTCTTTAGATGGAAAATTTAAGTCGAGTCTGCATTCATAATTTCAGTAATTTAGTTAACTAATCTCAGAAAGATGGGATTGGCATTGGGGTGAATTTGTTTTGCTCAACCCGATCTCAAGCTGTACTGTTACTGTTACTGTTACTGTTGGGGATTAAAATCTTAACTTATTCACAAGAAAAAGACTAAAGACTACATCTGTGAATATTTTAAGTTAAATTTATTTAATGATTATTTATAATTGATTTATTATTTTATACAATCAGAAAATATGTTTAATATAAGTATTAAAAAAAAAAAACCACTCTCCATTAAACCCGGCTAGTGAGTGTGGGATAGAGGAAATTCTTGTACGCAGCCTTATCTTTGCACAATATAAGTATTAAAATAATAAAAAATAACTAATAGAACAAATTACTCCTCCCTGCTCCCTTTACTATGCCATGTAGAAATAATTACTCGGTTTGCACTTTTATTTCCAAAATTAAAATGATTAACCCAACTTTTAATTATCCAACAAGTTGACAACTATTTCATAAAAGATTTTTATTTGTATTATTTGTTCAAATTAACCATATTGTCCTCACCTGCGAGCAGAATAACAATCTGTGGCTCCATTAATTCTCTTTCCCTCTCGCAACCTCACTCGTTCAAATCAAAATGGATTCAATTATGAGAATTGAGCTTCAAATTCGATTCACTCACTAAGTACGGTGGTGAGTTTCGCTCTCAATGGGTTTGGGTATATATATAGTTGATATTGAAAGTTTGCTTATTTGACTGCGTTGCAAAACTGTGGTGGACTGACTTATAAGGACAATGGTAATAGATTTTCTGACCGTTGGTTTGAAGATAACGGTGAAGGATTTAAACAAAATTAATGCTTTGCAACCGTTCCCGTTGGTTTGCTTGTTTTGAATTAGGATCATGGCAAGCTGTTATGAGTGTGCTAATGCCTAATGATTAGGGATTTGAATAAGGTTATGGATTTAAATATTATTGTACCCAGAAAAATTTGAGTTGCATTGTTCCATTTTTAAAACTTGTGATCAATTATACCCTATTATTTTAAATGTTTTTAATATAATTACATTTTCACATTTATTTATAAAAATATTTTTCTTCACCTTTTGATATGAATTTTTTATTTCCTCGTCATATCTTTGAAACTAGGTGTTAATTCATACAACTATAAGAAACTCATATGCAACAAGTTAATTTTTAATGTAACAATCAATCAAATGATTTTTCTTTTTATTTTTCATTTTTGAGCTGAAAGTAAACTTTTATATCTTATGATGAATTTTTGTCATTATTAAAATGGAAAATTAGTTTTAAGCAATATGCCAAAGATAATTTACGATATATGTGCCTTTAATAGTTGAAAAACCCAACTACAAGTTTAGAGATTATGGAATATTGAAAAACATAATGTTAAATCAGCAAAACATACTTTGTCTTTTACATTAGAACAGTGCAACTAAATGAATGAACTGAAGTGATTAAAACATAATTAATTTTTTTTTTGGTAAATAAAACATAATTAATTTTAAAATTTAAGAGAAACATGTTTAGTTTTTTTTTTTATGTTATACTTTGTACAGAGAAGAGGTAATGTAATTTTATTTCTTTGAACAACAAATTCTCATGCCAGTTTCTGTGTCAATCAAGACTTGCCGAGCAATCTTAAGAATGTGCCCTCGACATCATTTGATAAACTTTTGAAAAATTAATTTTTCTAAATACTAACACATGAGGCCATGTAGTTTTAACACAACACGTACAAGAGATGGAAGCAATTTGAGAAAAATTATAGTGATTTCATTTTAAAGTTATTGGCTCTATTTTTTTTATTTTTTTTGGAAACATACTCTAATTACCTTTTTGAGGGTATAGGATTAGGCTCTCCCCTATTTCCATAATGAATCCATTATTGGCTCTATTTTTAATCCCAAAATATTGCTGAGAAGAAAGAAAGAGTGAATCTCCGTGACCAACTCCGTCGAACATGAAGGATCATTGAAGGATTAAAGTCCCTTGCATAACATTAAAACAAGAAACAACTTTGATATTTGAAGATTATTATTGTGCCGTACATTTTACACCATTTTAATATATATTCTAGCATTTTGGTAAGAAACAAAGCAAAATATGGGATCAAATCAGCTAACTTCTTTCTCTCTCTATATATATATAAATAAAACATACCATAAAAAAAATTAAATATGTAAAATACTATATGAATTTAAAAAGTGCAAGAATTGTTTTTAAAAAATAAAGATAAGAGGTTATGAAGACAGTAAGGGTGCGAGTTTGAATCCAACTAATTTATGTGAGGATCTTGTTGCGTCTATACTCCATCTCCAAAATTCTCAAAGAATTAGGTCCCGTTTTAAATTAAAAAAGTATAAGAAATGTAAAGGAAAAAGAATACTAGTAAAAAACAAAAGACTTTTTGTCTCCCTTATCCTGTTTATAGCCCAAAAGAATTCATTGAAAAACCCTAGCTTCTTCTCCTCTCTTCTCATCCAAGCTCTATTTTTTTCTTCCATTCCTTGATCTGCTTTACGTTCGTTCAATCGATCCAAACACATAGCACCCACGTACTGGTTTTTGTTAGATTCAATTATGTTGGCACTTTGCACGCACTCCGGTTCATGATCAATGGAACCACAAAGAAAGATACTCAGAATCATTACACAACGACGGCAAAGTTAACAAAATACCTACTTGATAGCTTTCGCGTAATCGATATCGCAGTTGCTAAAGTGGATCCAAAACATGGAAAGAGGTCACGTCCTTTCGAAGAAGCGCAAGAGAAAGAAGAGGAGCAACCGTTCCCGTTTTATTCTACTCGGTCCCATCAAGACACGTTAGCCATTGTCTCGGCCCTTGTTCAAGTCATTGGTGGCAATCCAGTGCATATAGATCCAATAACAGCGTCCCAATCCAGTGCTTCAGAGAATGAACAACTCCAACCACCACAAAATCAAGGTATGTGCCTATGTCATAGTCACACTACTAGAAAATTATGCCTCTTTCTTCATATATTGCTTTAAAATTCGATCTAAGCAGTAATTAAGGACTAGCTAGGGTTGATGACTTGATGCACGACTAAGTCTTCTTATTTCCTTTTATGTTCTTCTCTCTTCCTTTCGGATCCTGGTTCAAACCTAAAAATGATATTTCATGTTACCTCATATATACAGCTAATGCAATCTTTAGGGTTTCGTTATTTCTCTCTCGAAATCATCATAATCTTCCCCTGCAACTTATTTGGTCTGAGGTTCGATCATACATGATTCATGTATTACAAATGTTTATTTCAAACAAATGAAAAAATAAATAAATAAAATCCACCATATTAAAAAAGTAACCCGGCTCATTAGTACTAAAATAATGATAATAATGAATATAAAGGACCGGTTATGTACCGTTTCTTTTTTAAAAAAGAAATTTGTCTTGCACACCATTTTCTTCCTACTAGCCTTCACACTTTCTTGTTTGAGAAAAGAAAGAAAAAAGATAGTGAGAGATTATATTGAAATTTGTATTTTTTCTTATTTTACTATCTAAATTGAAAAGTGATGCAGTGGGTTCTACTATAAGCAAGATATTGAATTCCGATATTGTGAATAATAATAATAAAAAAAAGCCAGGTGCTGGAAGAGTTTTTTCTTCTTGATATAATCTCACCTGATTCTGCTCTAAATTAGTTGAAATTCAATATGATATCTGAAATCAGGAATTAAAACAAAACAAAAAATTGTATGCGACTAATATTTTTGTTTAATTACTAAAAAAGAACTTATGTAAGGATACATATAGAATTGTGGTGTACTGGTGTATGTATAATATTATTATTTTTAATTATTTTCTTGGGCTTCTCCCTTTAATTAATTTGATCAAAAAGAAAGAAGAAAGTACCTCTTAATGTGTGCGGAATGTTTTTTTGACATCGCTTTAGTTACACCTGCTTGTTTGAAAAGAAAAAGAGAGAGAGAGAGAGAGAGAGAGAGTATATATTAAAAACTATATTTATATTGTTCTTTTACTTAAAAGAGAAAGTGGTGAAAAAATTGGTATAACTAAAAGAAATTAATGTGATTGTGGTAATGTATGTAAATGTGTATGTGTGTGTATATATATGAAGGAAACATAAAAAGGCACTATAGAGGAGTGAGGCAGCGACCATGGGGCAAGTGGGCCGCGGAGATTCGCGATCCTAAGAAAGCAGCGAGGGTTTGGCTTGGAACTTTTGACACTGCTGAGGCTGCTGCACTTGCATATGACAAAGCAGCTCTCACTTTTAAAGGAAACAAAGCTAAGCTTAATTTTCCAGAAAGGGTTCAACTCAGTACTTCTGAATTTGGTTACCTTACAAATCGTCCCAATGATCAATCCCATGTGATGTCTAGCACTGGCGGTCATAATGAACAAACGCATACCCCAAATGCTCTTGCATCTCCATATCCACACTTTTCGGTAGAAACATTTCAATATGCCCAACTTCATCAAAGTGGTACTAACAACAACTACTTCAATAATGCTATGCCTCGTTCCTATGGGAGTGACACGTTTGTTTTGTCTTGTCCGTTATCAGCTGCCACTTCGTCTTCATCGCCATCTTTTGAACTATCTGATCAATATTCTCAACAACAAGAACAGCTTTCGATGCAATTTGGAGGTTCTTCTTCTACTTCTGAGCCTTCTAGGAATGGGACAAGTGATTTGAATGGTTGACGTTGAAGACTATATATTTACACATAGTCGCTCTCAAGGTCTTTTTTTTTTTTTCCTGATTATATATATGACGCTTGCGAATTTAGAGTCTATTTATTATATGTTTTCAAGGAAATTAATGTTTGTTTGAGAATTATGTCACCCAGCATGCCTAAGAAAAAGATTCAAGAGCATTTGAGCATGTTGCTAATAGTTTAATTGAGGTTTTCACAATTATTGATTGCTTCTATCAAATCTGCATGTAAATAATTTATTTATTATCGTTCCAGTGTCCATCAAATCAATATTAATGAAGCTGCAAATATTTTAATAGGGAGAAATACCATGTCTTTGATTAGGACTTGGCTGTTTAAGACAATTCGGATAAATGCCCCTTCTAGAGGATTTATAAATTGTTATCAGATCTCGAATTTGGTGCCAGATATTATAATAGTATATTACTTAGGGATATATTTATCTCATATTTTAAGAAAATAGTTATCTTATATTATAGAAATAAAATTATAAGTGAGATTCACATGTAAAAGGAGAAAAAAAAAATTTACTTTCACTTTGGTGTGTATAAGAAACTTATTTATCATCGTATGCAGATAAATATAACTCTATTACTAAATCATGTAAGAGGACCCCTATATGGCTATTTATCGAGAGAGATTATTATAGAATATTAGGAAACAGGACTCACATGTATCGAGAGTTTCTTTGATATTATTACTGTACTAAATATTTTTTTTTTTAAAGATAAAATTTAAATTTGAAGGAAAATATGAAAAAAAAAACTTAAATTCAAATGAAATTTAAAAATTTCAATTTGAAAAAATAGTGTAACAAGTTTGGTACAACAGTTGTACCAAAGAAATTTTTCTATATATCCATGTAAAAAACGTTTTGGGTGAAAAGTTCTAGGCTGTTTTTCACACACCAAGTAGATCTAAGCATGATTTATTTTTCTTTTCTTTTTAATTTCTGGCCTGTCTTAAAAGTTTATTTAAAGATTTATTTTTTTAATAAGGTCTTTAAAGAGGTTAAGAGGCCTACCTCTATATAAATTAAAATGCTTAAATTTTTATGTAATAAACTTAAGGTAGTGTTTGGTTGGGGAGAAAATTTTTTTTACTAGGAAAATGTAATTGACAAGGAAATGGCTGGGAAGTGAGTTTGGTAGGAAAATGTAAAAAAAGTTGTTTGGTTGACCCAAATATTACAAGGGAAATTTATTTAAATATGCAAAATCTATGTTTGGGAGAAACTTTACACCTGTTTTTTTCACTTTCCCAGTTATCTCAAAATACCACATTTCAAGTGGTATTCTGTAACAGTGAATTTCATTCAAAAATCAACACAAAAGTTATTTTTCCATCTATCCTATTTGCCTGGTATTTCTTGAAAAAACCTGAACCAAACGTGGTATTTTTCAATATCCCCTTACACTTTCCCATCAATCCCAAAATAAACCTTCAACCAAACACTACCTAAGTCTTTCAATGTATCAATAAGAATATGATTTTAAAATATTATAATATCTATGCAGACACGAGCACGCTCAAATAGGTTAGGCCGGCCTACCAATTCCATGCCTCAAAAAACTTTTTGGTAACTTCAAACAAATTATTGGCCTTATTGATTAATAAACTGATGCAGGTTAAGTCAGAGAGCATAAGCTCCCAAGGAACTGCTTAATCTATTCTCAATCTAAACAATGGAAATTTCTATTTGTGAGCAATTATTCTAATATATATATGAAGGGTAGCATACATTGACTACTACATAATCTTAATTCTTCTTGTACCTTACTTAACCCGAGAGCGTTGAAGTAGCTAGCTTGTAAGTATATTTCTTTGCCACTCTGTCATACCCGTAATCTCGATTGATTTCGACCGTGATTAAAGATTTCAAGTCCCAAAGTGTGCAGCGGACGAATAAGAAAAGGTAAAAAGACAGAGAAGAAGACAGGGAAAAATAAAAAAAAAAAAAATAGAGCACATCTTATTTAGGCATCTGCATGTCTCAAAACCATCAAATATATATATATAAGAAAGTAGAAGTTGATTTGAATACGCCAATTAATTCTGACCCTGGAAAGTTTCAAAGGATGTGGAAACCGCGTCATAATGATGTCGGCTTTTATTTATTGTTGAGCCTCAAAACAACAATTTAGAAAGAGATACATGCAACCAAGAAAGTTGACTTCCAGGTATGAATACTCGTTGAGTTGTGGGAAAATCTTCCTTTGTCGTAAACTTTTATTTATTGTTTTTTAAATAAAAAATTATGAATTTATGATAATTTTGAAAATAATTACATATTTATTGCACAATATCACGTCTAATTTGGGCATCACCAATCATGCTCAATTTAAGCGTCACTCAAGCACCAATCACACCTAATTTAGACGTCACTCATCATGTGTTGACACGTGTCATCTCGTCTCTAGAGATTAACTTATTTGATAATGTTAGACCTGCAATCAATCTTCTCTATAATCAATTTGCGTTACTACGTTGTTTTAATGATCTTTGTACGTTATTACGTTGCTAACTAATATAAGAATAAATATCATTTTTCGTCCCTAACAAAAAATTTGATCTCTAGTTTTGTCCATTATAAAAAAAAATTAGTCAATTGGTCACTATGAAATTCAAAGTAGATCCATTTTAGTCTTTTTGAGAGACTAATGTGTATCTTTTTTGAATTTTTGAGGATCAAGATTTTAACTAAATTGATCCACTTTAAATTTTTCAGGGAACTCGAGATTAATTTTTTTTATAAAGGACTAAAGTGGGGATCGTATTTTTTATTAGGGACTTAAAAGAGTAGTTACTCTTAATATAAATATTGAACCAAGATATAAATAATGACTTACAACCAAAAAAAAAAAAACTAAAATCGAAAATTTCATGTCTGCACTTGCGGACATTTGCGTAGACGTGCGTCCGCCACTGATAATAGGTAAAGATAGGCAAAAAAAATAATAAGTAAAACAACTCATCCGTTGTTATTAATATTTTTCAACATTTGTATTCGGAATGAACAATATAATACTTTTATGCACATATTTCGTATTTTGACTTTGTAGAAATGTTAATACACTTTCTATTATTGCTTCGTCATAATAAAAAAAATTCAGATAATATATACCTGTATCAGCATTTTGAGGGGTTTTATAAGAGTTATGTTTTAGGAAAAATGATTGTGTAATGTTACAGAGATTTATTTTGTGTGCCTTAATTTTTTTTTTTTTTGATAACAATTTTTTTTTTTGTTTCAAAAAATATGAGTCCTATAAAATATTATAGGTGTAAAAAACTTTTTTTTATGTCATATGGTGCGACTCTTGCAAGTGACAAAGTCATTAATCGATATACTCAACATCACCTGGTCTATTTCTTTGACTTTGGTGCTCGTCATCGCCGACTTCAAGTCTTCACATTCGATATGTTAGATATTCCGCTAATGTCAAATATTGCGGCTATTGCGGCCATCCATTATCCCCTTTCACAGCTTCACAATTCATACCAATTTTCAACGAACCACTATCGATACCTTGATATTTTATTAGGTAAAGGGAGTAAATTGTACTTGTGATGCCCGAGAACATTGAACATGAAGAATAATAATTATATAAAAATAAAAATCAAAATAAAAATAAAAATAAAATATTAAATAAAAAAAAAAGAATATTTTTAGAAGATTAAATATATACCTATTAAACTAATATAATCAATCTAATGGTAAAATAAATTGATAGTAATATTGATAGTAACACTAATTGATAGTAACAATATCATATCTAATACTTAATTATAAAAATTTAATTCTCTAGAAAAATAATATTTCAATTTTCAATTTTTAGTATATAACTGTACTTTTTTTAATTAAGTATATAACTATATTTTTTGGCCTTTTTTTTTCCTGTAATATTGTTGATTTTTATTTATTTTTTATAGAATGTTCAAATTTCTATAGACTAGTGTATTTGTAAACGTATTAGAGATTACAAGTAAATTATTAGATAACACTCTAATATTCCTATAACTTTTTCAAATAGTCAAGTAAGGCTGCTCTAAAAAATTTGTAAACATCCCACATTGTTATTATTCCTTTTATGTATATATATATATATATATATATATATATATATATATTACATTTCGGTATCCAAATTCACAGTTGAACAAATTTAGGGCAGATCATCTTACACACTAAAGTGTAATAGAGTCAAATATAATTAAATTAATTATAATCAAATAATAAAATTTATACAAATATAAACTAATATATATGTGTATACATAAAATTATCCTTCACAAATTGATATACTAACGGACAGCGTGCGCGCTCCGGCCTCCCTCACCTCATTCATATTTTCTTCAACTTTAATTTTAAAATTATATATAATTGCTTTTAATGATTCTCAAATCCTTTCAGCCGTCTTTTAACCTCTATATATGAAGCATTTTTCATATTAAAAATAGTAATGTCTAAGTTATAATCATAAATGTTTATTTACTTATGAATTACGCCTTAAAGTTATATACCTATATATTAACATCATACTAAATATAACTTCAAAAAACAAATAAAAACATAAATAACTATTATTTAAATCGTGACTAAATAATTTGCTGTAACAGAGGGGAGCTATGCTTCTCCTATATATGATTTAAAAAAAATTCCTTACATATACATGATAACATGTACTTTGGGGACCATTATAGCCAAAAGCATAGGAGAGAAAGACAAGCCTAGCATCATGCCGTTTATAAATTTGTCGCAGCTCAATTGTTTTAGGGAGAAAGAAAGCGCAGAAGTAGATAAGTGAATGATTTTTTTATTTATTTGTTTTTGTTTTGTTTTTGTGTTTGGGCTCTGCATTCATTTGCTATTGGGCTGCTGGCTTGTTTAAAGTTTTGGGCCAGGCCTTGTTACCCAAAGTCTTTCTTCTTTTAAGAAGATAAATAACAGTACTCTTATAGACAAGCAAAATGTCACAATATTTCGTCATCGCCTCAACTCTACCTTTTACACTTCGACTCTGGGGGCGTTTGGTACGCGGGATTTTGAAGGATTCCCGGGAAACTGAATTTTTCTAAATTTTAAATTTTCAGATATTATCGTAAACTGAACGTAAAAATCATATTTTTGAAAATTGAGATTCCCGGACAAATAAAAATTTCTCATGTACCAAACGCCCCGAATTTGCACATTGCAACTAACAATGATTAGAAATTTACCAAAATAATGATGATTTATATTATTTCAATACATTTTTTTATTTTTGACATCATTCACTATAACAATAACATATTATGAAAAACAAATCTTATTAAATACTTATTCTCTATTTTTTATTTTTTGAATTCTTTTACACAATTTTTAAATACAAGACTATTTTTTCTATTGAATATTTTTTTGCAGAGTTTTAAGTATTGTTAAAATTTAAAATATACATTAAACACAATTTACCTTTAGTAGAGAAATTTTAAACATCAAATAGTAAACTAGGACATAGAATTGAAGACACTTGTTGATTAGTTACGGGAATGGGAGAGTGAAGATAATCAAAATAATTGAATTTTTTTCCTATTAAGTAGAAATTTAGAGTTCAAATTCTGAAAATAGATAGAAAAAAGTTACCAAAATAAATTGAGCGGTGCTTTTTTTTTTTTCTTTTTTTTTCTTTTTTTAACAATGACACTGGTAAACTGTAAAACTGGGAAAGACATGACACTGAAAAACAGTCAGATAGATACATTGAAAAATGCTACTCTTATAAATCGTGATATTTCCCGGACTCACTGAAAAAAATGATAGCAACCAAATACAGTAGTTTTTTTTTTCTGCTTTTTTATTTTGGTAAGTGTTTTTGTTTTTTTATTGGACAAGCAGTCCTCTTTCTTTTATGCAGAGTATGAGAGAAAATTTATAACGAGATTGAGGAGAGATTATTAAGTGTGCTTTCTTCTTACTTCAAAGGCTTGAAAATTTCTCCGGTTTGAAAATGATAATGTGGGAGTAAATTTTCTTATGCTTAATTTTCACATGATTATATTCTATGATAAATTTCAATAATTTAATAATATATCAATGAATATAATTTTAGTAATAAAAATTATAAACTGAAAAGATAAAATGCTTAACTTAATTGTTAATTGTCAATCTATTATTAAACTATTAAAATTAATCACAAAACATGATGATATTAAAATTAATAATGTTTACCAAAAAAAAAAGTTTAACAATACGGTCATCCATTGTCAAGATAATGCAGTGTTTCAGATGTGCTTCGGAAACTTTCCTACTTAAATATTTATATATAGAATGCCTTTGTCCATATCAATGTTATTGAATAAAACCAATAATAAGTAATGTTTCTAAAAATTTATCAAAGAGGAAAAGGCATCCGAACTGGAGATGTGTTAAAAAAGAAAAGAAAAAAGATGTCATTTATTTAAAAAAGTTAAGCAAATGTCTACATGTAACACATTTCAATTAATTGTAGTACATTATATGGTGTACATAACTTGTGGAACTAGCATTTTTGTTTTTTCTAATTAATACCACCAATCTATTTATTGTAGTTTTGTCTCAGCTCTAGATTCGGTAAAGGGTACACGAAAGATACAGTACGAAAGCTAGGTAAAAGATGGCAGAAATCCAATAAAAAGCTTTTCAGAATCGGTCCTCGCATTCAATGAAAATGAGGAATTATCGCCAAACTGATAAATGATGAACACAACAAAAGTAGAGCTAAGGAAGGTGATTTATAAGGCACATTAATACGTAATCCATGTTTTCATAAATCATAACTAATAAGTTCCCTAAATCGATCACATATATATATATATATATATATATATATATATATATATATATATATATATAGGGTTTTATTAGTGTTATGTAACATAATGTAAGTTTTGTTTTCAACTCTCACATCAAAAGGGAGAGAAAAAGTGGAATGATAAAAGAGAAAGAAAAACATGTGGACCCCACCTCTTTAATGTGTGTGTAGAAAAGTAAAATTATATTATGTTAAATGATAAACATAAAATTCATATATATATGTTCTTTGATTTATCGTTAATTAAGTCTCCAAGTCATAAAGCCTCGTAGCTTAATTAGGTCATACATTAATAATATATATAAAGAGATCGAGTACATATGTTTAGAAAGGAATTAGGTGGCCGCTGCCGACAGAGAGAGAACTTGAAGCAGTGTTACTGTTCCTCTCGGCGTGACAAAACTGACGAAGCTTGGTTGGGACGTACCATATTGAAAGACGAGGATGTGCATTGAAGATGGCATCAATGTCCCAACCTTGAAGAGCTGCTATTGCCACAAGGGGTTTGTAACATGCTTGTCTCCACGCACCAACATTTTCTCCTCTTTCCTTGAAAGCCCTTCTCAGCTCGTTCGAAACCTCCTCGTCAAGACAGTGCAATGCATAACAGTGCACGTAATGTCGCATTTTGGGTTTGTTAATGTAGCTCGCTCCTGCCTTCTTGGCGTACCTAAACACCTGGTTTGTCACCTAATTAAACACAAATCCACTGATCACATCAAATTAATTAAGAGAATAATATTCGTAGACACGAGTCGATATAGGGAGAACGAGTAAATTATATGATTTTTATGAGGACATGTAAGTATTCAGTGGTTGAAAGGTGGATTAGGGAACATGCGTTACTTTGACTCGTGGATGGGAATGCTTAGTTTGGACTGGGGGACCAAGAAAGTTCTTCTACAATACATAGCTTGTTATTTTAAACTTCACCTCACTGCTGTGTGTACCATAACAAACTTCCAATTTAAAAGAACATGCTTCCCTGACCTGTCACGTGTTCCGTGGAACATCATACATATCTTGTATAACAATGTGACAGGTTCAGACCGAGTGTTGGACTTGGCTGGTGCAACGGTTCGTGAATAAGGTAGTTAAAATCGTAAGATTTTATCTAGAATGGGAAGGGGAATAAAAAATTATAAAGAACTAAGTAACTCAGAGAAAAAGTGAGATTTAATGAAATGAATGAATATATGTACCTTGGTGGGGCATTTTTCACCACGGTTCTTGGCGATGTTTTGAACCTGGATCAAGAACTCACGGCATTGCTCGTAGAGGTGGAATAGATAATCGAGGCCGTTCTTCTTGCCACGTGCAACCTCACCAGGCTCCGTTACAATAAATGGGTGCTCTCTTTGCCTCTCATTGTTCCCTTCATCGGCATCTTCTTCTCCTTCCTCGTCTTCATTCTCATCAAGATCACGATGATGATAATTCATCTTCAATCTCGTTCTCCTCCTCCTCCTCCTCTGCTGTTGCTTCCCCTTCTCATCCACTGCCTCCATCGTGCTCTTTTCTCTACTCCCTACCACCTCTTTTTCTTGTTGCACCACCGGCTCCTCAGACAACCCTATATTTATGTATGTGTTATAAATCTTATAATAGCTTCTTTTCATCGACAATTTTTTTTTTTTTTTTATTTGTTGACTTTATCTTCAATTTCATGTATACACTTACGTGTATAATCATGGTAGAACTACATATAGTTACAGACATACTCTAAAATATAAGAGCTAACTTTAACAACAGTAGTTTAATATAACAGTAGCACAATTTAGTCAAACTTTAAAAAAAAGAAAAAAAAATTAGTTCAATTTTCCCCTTGCTATAGTTCAATTTAATATAACAGTTAAAACTGAACACGCTATTTTCCCCTTTAGTTTATGGTAAAATAGTCCTTTGAAATTGAAACTATAAATATGGTACATTGTTGGGTAGTATTTTTCTCAAAAGAAAGAGTTATCGTTCTCAGGGAACAGGTTGTTTAGTTTTCCTTTTTTAATTCCTATTTCTAATTTCTTGAAATTAAGTGATCAATCTTTTAAAACTAAGAAAATTCTAAATCAAACAAGGTATTTATCAAACTTGCATTAAACAAAATTTAACAGAGAGATATCTAATCACAAATGTAACAATTATAAGGTTCTGGAATTCTTTGAATCATGGATGAAGGAAAAATTTCGCATTCCTGCGTTTTATAACTGCTACGGCACTTTAGTATCAGAATTCGAATTACTATGGCTATTTTATCTGAAACTTCCCAGTTCCAGATTTTAATCTTTAGAAGGATCTTTTCCCAAAGTCTTCTAAATCTTTAAAAATTATATCAAAGACCTCCTTGGATTATCCCTAACCTCAAGGGTTCAATTAACAAGGGACATAACCTGATTTCCCAATCATAGCTATGCTAAAATTATTCAAGACCCATTCCCATGGTGTTCTTGAACTTAAAATCAAAATCTTGTTAATCAAATGAAACTAAAGCAAACCATCACAGTATTCAGAAAAATAAAAGATCACCCAATCATCGTGAATCCCAGAAAGGAAAAGATCAGAAACCCATATTCAAAAATATTACAAATCTAAAAGTAAAGAAACATGCATCACAAACATTCATGAAAGAAAACTCAAAGTAAAGTTACAAACCGGTTCTTCAAGAGTCAAAGTTCCTAAACTAGAGCTAGGAAGAAAAAGATCAGAAATGTGAAAACAGGAGCTCGTATGCAGATCCGTGGTTCCTTTCCTTGAAGTTGCGTTGTCAATGCACTTCGAGATCAAGAATTGAAGAACATGCACCAGCTTTCAAGACAAACACTCAGATTCGAAGAGAGAAAATACAAAATTCTAAACGTAAACTGAAACTAAAAGTACGGTATCTGACCCTAAATGACTCAGACTTCTATTTAACTAAAAACTAAAAAGCTGCCTCAAAATGCATTGCTGTCCATCCATCTCTTTGTCCATCCAATGGTTCAGATTTGATCTTGCTTTCAAAAAGTTGATCTTGCTTTCAAACTGCAGTAAAAATAACAAAAGAGAATAGTAAATCATCAAATTACCTCTTTCTCTCTTTCTTTTTTACCTTTGGGTTGATTGGTACTCATTTGGCCCATTACCATGCACTAATATCCAGCCTTCACCTCAAATATTATAAAAACTAAGCCATTAAAACTAGTCATAATTGATAGCTAACAAAATACCCCAAACTTAATTAATTACTTGCCCTCAAGTAATCAGACAAACTTGACTCATAAGTTAGATATCAACACAGATATGATTACAATAACTTAGTTAAATTAAATCAGCCATCGTGCAAAACATCACTCTTCTTAAAGCTTTGACCAGGTTTAATGTCAACCAATTCCTACAACCAATTAATCACCCAACTCCAGTCAATCAACAATTACATAAACATTCAATCAAAAATTCATGCTCATTCATTTAGTTGCAACCCTTAACTTAAAATGATTCAATTGAAATTCCACTGAATTCCTTGCCAGATACATTCAATCATTCACACTCTCTCCTGTTTATAAGGGAGGTCACTCATTGTCATTATGCATGAATGCTTTCAACCTACACTACCATTTAGAAACTTGAAGTCCAATATGCTATCTCCATCAAAGGGTCTTTAAGGCTTGTAATGAGGCAGGGCTAGGATCTTTGTTTTTCTAGTCACTTGGCTAATTAAGCTAACCCTTAGTGTCTAACTATTCCTCATTAGCTCTTTCTGATTTTTGCCTAAACAAGACAAAGGGAAATTAGTAACTCTCTTTCCCTTTTTATAACTTCTTTCTTCTTCTTTTTTATTATTGAGCACCTTCACAATTTTTTTACTTTTGCCTTTTTCCTCTTTTCCTTTTTTACGGCAAGCTCAAAGATCTCCCTTTTTTTTTAAACAGAGAACTCTTTTTATAAAATCACTTGTTCCTTTTTTTCTTCGATTTTTTTTTACCTCCTGATCCTCTTTTCTTTTTTTCTTTTTTCTCTTTTTTTTACAACCAATTTCCCTTTGCCTTATGTAGCTTACTGTATTTCTAAGCTAATGAGAATTAACTAAATACTAAGATAGCTATATAGGGTGGACAAGGAATTTGGCTTATAATATCAAGGTACATGATCAGAAAAGAAAGGTTTCAGGCTCAAATATAGGGACCAAGGGATATAATTAACGGGTGAGGCTTTTGGCTCTAGGCTATACATTCAGAAACAATGCCCCAATCACACAGAAATAGCATATTAGTCATCCAAACATAGTGCAGTATTCAAAGCACCAATGCACAATGACCACTCACAAAGGAATATAGTGTTTAGGTTCAAATACCTCACATGGGTTGTTAATCCAGTGGTTTATCAGTGAATCAACAAATCAGGGATCACAAAAAATTTTATGGCATGTAATTTGATTTTCAGCTTATATAAATATTGATCAACTAAGTTAGATCCTTAATTGACTAGGAATTAATTTAATTTAAATCTGGCTATACTTAAGCAATGATGATGTTAAACACATAAGGTTATAAATCATATCCAAGTTACTACTCAGCTAATCAAGCATACAAAACAGAGTAAATTTTTATCATTTTTATGCACCAATCAGCAAAGTAATGGTAACAGCAATTACAGCAAATAATCACCCCAAACTTAAAATCAAGCTGGGTCCTCACAGCAGAACATAAATATATATATAAAAACAATAAATTGAAAAAATAAATAAATAAATTATAATAAATAAATTAAAAACCTGGGTGACAATGAAATGGTCAGCTGAGAAGGAGTCTCAGTCATTAGAGAATGAGTCCTCCTTTTGGTGCCATTGTACACTGGATTAAAAATTAGTGAATAAAAGAAACATAAAGGTAAATTTGTCAACAAATGAGTACCCATAAATGTCAGCAAAGAAAATAATTACAGTGTTATGACAGTGTAATTCTAGGAATTATATCAGTAATTGCCCACAAAATACTAACTGAGAATCAGTATAGTAAGCCCAAAATTATAAAATATAGGCTAGTACAGGGAAGCAATAACATTACTTACAGAAGTGCCAACCATTTTTGAGAGAATTATTCTAAATTAAAGATTATTCTAATTAGCATGTTATTTTAGTTCCAGCCAGTAGTTGAAATCTATTAAGGATTTGTTACATATATATAATAGCCAATAGACCTTCAATAATTGAGCACGCCATAGGTTGGACTTCAGTAAAATAAACTGAACAGAGGACCAGAGACAATTCAACCCATATTATCCACACCCATTAAAAAAAAAAAAAAAATAAAAATAAAAAAAACTCCTAGTACAGAATTTCAAATAATATTAAAACCAAGAATTGCCAATAAAAGCTAGACGGAAAATTATAGAAAGTCCATCTGAAGAAAAGTCCATTTTCCTTGTTTTTTTTTTTTTTTTTGTAAATTCCATTTTCCTTGCTTTATATGATTGGCAGAACACAAAATTTTCCATGTGCCAATAGTAAATGGTCGTCCTTTGATTCAAAGCCTGAGAGATAACAACAGGAAAATTTAACTTCTTCTAAAATCAATTGTACAGCATTTTTTATATATCTTCACAAATATATGCACATTCCTTAAGATGGACTACAACATAATGGAATAGCCTCAGCCACCCAATAATAACATACAACCAAGGGATTTGAATGTGCGAAAAAAAAAAAAACAAAGAATAAATAAATAAGTAAATAAAATAAATTAAAATTAACTATCCCCAACTTCTCAAATCAAAACCCTAGCCTAATTTCAAGAACACCAAACGATACATGGGTATGGCGAGGGTAGTGGTGAGAGAAAGATGAGGGTTGCAAAATAAAAAATAAAAATAAATAAGTAAATAAAATATAAAATTCATAAATCAAACCTGATACACGCTCAAACTCTACTAGTGGTGAACCCCAAAATGTGTGGACTGAGGGCAAGACGAAAACGAAGCCTGACGGTGGTTCTTCGACCGCGTTGAGTTGATTGGTTCTCCGGTGAGATTAAGTATGAAATAAGCGAACCAAGCTTGACTAGTTTTCAGACCAGAACAGCGGCGAGGAGGGAGATCAGCTTACTGGTAGAGTTCGAAGCTATAAAACAAGAAAATAGCTTCGGTGCACAGGGATTAGATGGCAAGAGAAGAGAAAGGAAAATATAAACTAGGGTTCTGAGCGAGACGATGATGAAAAAGAGACCAGCTCTGAAAATTGCTTTGCTGAGCGTTGTGTGAGACTACGAGGGGAAATGAATTATTTTTAAAAAGAGCAAGCCCTTTATTTGGTCAATAAAAAGTAAATGAGATATGACTAAAGCAGGATAAGTCATATCGCCACTCTATGAGCAGTCCCCTTTTTACTACCTGCTGTTCAATTTCTCAGAGGTGCATTAATGGTTGGGATCAGCTTCTGCAATCTCTATTCAGCTAATTTAATGATTGAAACTAGTAAAAAAAATCCAATTGTGTGCAGCTCATTGGTCAAGAAGAAGATGATTTGAGGAAGAGAAGAAAAATAAATAAATAAATAAAATTAATAATAAAAATTCTGACATTATCAGATTTAAAATAATTTAATAAATTAGGTAAAAATAGAATTGATTGAATATAATTGGGCTGGTAG